ATGTAAATATAAGATTTTAATTAATTCCAAATAAAAAATAGAAATTATATATGAAAGCATCATGATATCAGACATAGTACAAAAGAAGAGGAAGGCATTATTGTACATTTTGAAAGTAAAGGAAAAATAAACAAGAATGTACCAAAATAGTTCAATGAAATGCAAATGATAAACTTGCTGAAAATATTTTTTTTCCCTTTTCAAGCAAATTATCATAATCTGACTTGATTTATAATGTAGCTACTGCTACTTCCAAGATACTTTATAATCAAAATCAATACTGTAACCTTGGAAGATTAAGATAAATATAAAGTTATAATATGGCATTCATTTTATGTTCATTTTTGTGCTATAATATAATCTAAGTAGGGAAAGAGAGGGACTCTGGGATGTTCAGATAACATTTAATAAGTAATGCCATTGATTTTTTTCTATAGGAGCCCCTATGAATTTGAAAGTATACATTTCCAACTGAAAAAATCTTCTACCCATTGATACTAAAATTGTGTTTCTTTTTTTTCCTAATACAAATATTCTGCAAAGTAATAAAATTTCACTGAATATACACAGAGCACTGAAATAGAATCATAAATTATGGATATATGACTTTTCAGATGATATAATACAGAGATCATCTATTTTCAAATAAGGAACCTGAAACCTAAAGACCTCTTAGGACCAAGTTACAGAAGCTTAGTGATGGAAGAAGGGGCTCTGGTAGCGTAGTGCCTAAGGCACTTGATTGCTAACCAGAAGGCTGGTGGTTCAAGCCCACCAGCCACTCCTCAGAAGGAAGATGGGGCAATCTCCTTCTGTAGTGATCCTGCCTTGGAAACCCAGGGAGGGGTCACTATGAGTCAGGTTTGACTTGATGGCACATAAGAACCACAGCAAGTGATGGAAGCACTACTTAAAGGTCAATTTTTTCAGTGATTCAACTGAGTTTGAGTCCTATTTATCACCTCTCTGTAATGTGATGCATTCTAACATTAAAGACTGGCACTCAAAACTAAATGTACTATCCCTGAACTATTTTCTACCACATGTTCTCATCTTACACTGGCAAAGATTCTAGCATAAAAACGTCATATACTACATGCATCAGCACAAATGTTGATATTTGAAACAACATAAAGCTCTCTAGCCACTCCTCGGAAGGAAGAAGGGGCAATCTACTTCCATAGTGATACTGCCTCGGAAACTCAAGGAGGGGTCGCTGTGAGTCGGGTCCGACTCGACGGCAAATAACAACAACAACAACAACATTCATATGTGTGCCGATATGGATAATGTTAATAATAATAATAATAACAATAATAACAAACCCATTGCCTTCGAGTAGATGTCAACTCAACAACTATATAGAACAGAGAAGAACTAGCCCCTATGGTTTCCAAGGCTGTAAATCTTTACAGAGGCAGATTCCCACATCTGTCTCCCAGGTGATGGGTTTGAACCTCTGAACTTCCAGTTCACAGCTGAGTTCTTAAACATTTTCTCCTTTCAAACATGTGACTTTAGCTGATTAACATGGGAGTTATATGAGCTTTAAATAACATTTAATCAATACCTGTTTTGCTTTGTAAATTTTAAAATGCAATTTAGAATTCAAGTTGATATTGAGGAAAACAGAACAATAATTGATTTGGAAGACACCAGAGAGGTGATCCACTATTATGGTTTTAAACTGTGTTCTACTAAGGATTATAGTAGCTGAGTAGTTTTTTCAGTCTCCTTACAACGAGTGCAAGTTAGATTTAATTCTTGATCTAATATTTCTTCTGCTAGTTCTGTTCTCTATTGCAAAATATTTCCATTAAGCTAAAAGAAAAAAGCATAGTCAACCAAAAATTTGATAAAAGTAATAAAAAATAAATTATTTAGGAAATGGATCCATACACATATATGCCTATAAATCTTGCGTATAATGTTTTCTAAAATTTTTAAAACATGCATAGTTTTACGTATTTAAAAGTAGCCAGCCTGATGAAAATGCTCCTTCTTGAACATTCGTTGTTACTTCCTCTTTTCCTGATTAGTGTTTATGTAAGATTTGTCCAACCAAATGCCTTCAATTAAATGACTCAGACTTTATAACATTTCATTTATTCATTCAATCATACATTCATAAAGTACAACCTGAATGAAATATTATCCCCGCCTTTGAGAAGCTCACTAAGCACTGGAAAGAATTGTCACAAATAACACAATGTCTTTCAATGTTATCTTAAACTCTGATAAAATAGCTTAGCATTTTAATTTTCACTATAACAATTTTACCTGCTTATTACTGAAATACACCTGCTATGAAGGTCAAGTTAATTTTATAAGTTAAATATAGTTATTAGAAGCACTCAGTGTTTGGTGATATGTTGGGATTGAATGAATATACCTTGAAATACAAAGTAAAATTTATGTTTTTCTGGTATATACTTAGGGTTTGGCATTTTTATTGATAATACGATTTAGAGCAGGGTCTTGCATTTAGTACCTGCAATATTTGTCCTTTTGACTTATTCAGTATGCCTTCCTTCTATTTAAATTTTAAAAAGATATAAAATATTTGTTAACTGCTTACCCTATTATAATTTTTTTTGTAAATTGGAATTTTATATCAGTTCCATCCATGCCTTTCAATTACTTAAAAATGGTCATTCGCTTGACCTTCCATCTTCTGGATCTATCTCTATAGTTACCATTATGTTTTATTCCTTAAAAGTTATTGCTGTTTCTATCTTCAATTTGAATTGAAGTATAGGTGCTTAAAAAATGTTTTGCCCATTTCAAAGCAAGAAAATAGCATTGATAAAAAACTGTTTAAATGCCTTCATGTGATGTGACAGATTCTTAGCTAGAGGTATTCAGATATTGTTATCTTAGAGTGTTGTTTCTGATATCACTCCCACAATTAAGTTTAGAGTTTACATTCTACCTCTTCCTCCTCCACACAATATTTCTTCTGTATTGAACATCATCTTTTCTCAATGATATTATTTATAGCATTGAGCTCATTGGTAGAATTTTCTTCCCTCTGCAATTTTCTCCTTTAAGTTTTCAATTCTTTTTTTAAAAAATTCTTTAAGAAGTCCAGGTTTATGTTCAAACTACTATGAATTCTACGAACTCGTCTATAATATTTAAGTCAAATCTTATAACACACTGGAAGACACAGATAGAAGTCCTACTTATAATTCACTTTTGACTGGAGAGAGTAGAACGATGCCACAAAATAGAAAATGCAAATTTTTTTGAAAAGAGTTTTGAGACAGCAGGAAAATTCACAACTGCCAGAACCAAATTTAGAAGACGTGAACACGCAGTGGAGTTGAATTTTTGAGTACAGTGAGTTGAGAGGATATAAATCGCAACCAAAACATCACTTCAGAGGGATGCAGCCACTCTGATTATAACTAAGGGGTCACAGATAAAGAATCTCAACCACATACTGAGGGATCATTTAGCCATAACTGTGTTTTAAAAGATGAGAAGTAGGTAAAAAAGCAACTGTTTTTCCAAAATCAAATAACAAATAATTGTTAAGATTCAGGTCTTTTAAACCCCACCCAAATGATGTTTCCTCTTTATTCTCCATATATTTTATGCATGGCTTGTTCATAACTCTACATCCCATAAACCATCAGACTTTTTGTCTCTACCTTTCTATTATGGGACGTATTAATATCAAGAAAAAAATCAACTTAAAACATTTAGAACTAATTGGTTACATGGGCGATATAGAATTAGTGAAATGATCACTGCAAACTAACATACAATCTGTTTTGCTTTTATCATATGCATACCATGAACAAAACCTTACTGAATAAGTTTCCAGCAGTCATCCTTAACTATAAATCTGATGAAAAGCAATATGTAAAATATTCTAAATTATAATTCTGTTCAAGAATTTAAATATATCCCTTGCATTCTTGATTCAAGCCAGTTGTTTTTTTTAGAAAATAATTAAGTTCTAAATATCTCATTAGCTCAGATTGAAACATATTTTAATTAGAGGTTTTCAAATTAAATATATTTTCTTTATTTCACTTGCTATTATTTAAATATTTAAATAAAATAGTGTTCTGAACTATTAGTTTTAAAAAAATTCATAGCAAGTATAGTTAATCAAATAATTTATAGTTTATAAAAGGAAATAACTCATTGTTGTCTCCAAATTCCTTGAAAAAACATTTTTAAATGTTCCAAGTTTAAAAATAATGTTTTCGAAGCTATTTCATTGAATTTATATTTATCTGTTTTTCTTAAACTATCCATTTAGATATAAGTGTACACTAGATATAAGTGTACAATGAACTACGGTAAGCTCTTACGATACTGGTGGTCAGTATCATAAGAGAAAATATAACAAGATATTTTAGATAGATTCCTAATAGTTGTAATTCACTTTCATAAATGTGGTATAATATAGATTTGCATTAATAATGGTGTCAAAAACATTATTAATGAAAGGAAATATTTATTGGTGGGAATTTTAAAAGGTATTTTAAGATACTTTTACACTGATACGATTGAAAACATTTGTCCAAATTGTTCACTTAGGCTTAATTACCTAAAATATATTTATTTAGAAAACCAAATCCATAGATATATCCCACTCTTCTAATGTCCCAACATTTTTCTTTCTCTACTTTTGTTTATTTTATTAAACTTCCATAAATTTAAATGGTTTATGATTAATATGATGTTAATATACTGTTTTTATACAAAAAACTCACATAATGTTAAAATACATATATGTGTACACAGATTTCTTTCTATAAAATATTTTTAACTTTTTTTACTACTTAGTATTTTCCTACTAAGTGATTATTTTGCTTCCTTTTTTTCTTTTCCTTGTTAATTTTCATCTGAGTGCCCTATGTCAGGCTTAAGAAAGCAGTTTCTTTAACTTGCATTCTTCTGTGCTAACAAAGTTTGTTAACTTGGTCTTCATTTTAAAATTGTATTTCCTGATACATGTTTTTGTTTGTTTTCTTAACTAGTGAAAAAGGCCATAGATTTTAAATCTAGAGGATTTAAATTGTTTCCAGGGAAAGACAACAGCAACAAATTTTCTATCTGTGAGTGTACTCCTTTTTGTTACTTTTTCTGGTGCAAGAGTGGAGTTTGTGCTGTCTGTGTTGTTTGTGTGTGTTTTATCAAAATGTTTGTGTATTTACCAGATTAACTGCATTAATATCTATATAACATGCATGGTGGTTATTCAATATTTTATTGCATTTAAATGTGTCCAGTTTTATAGATTCATGCGGTAAACTCCCAAGCTCAAATTGTTTCTGATAAAATTTAGTCCATTCCTCAAAATATAAAAAGCTCTTTTGAACTGGTGTGTTGATGACACTTTACATTTGTAATTCTAAGATATGAAGGTGGAAATGGGTAAAATTCATAAAAATTGTGATTTATTGTAAGAATTTGTGTTTGAACGCATCTAAATTTCACCATAAATAAAATTCTTCTAAGGAAAACTTATTTTAGAATACCATTGTTAAATTTAAAAACACAGGATTACTATTAATTAGAATTAATTTAACCAAGCTCTTTAAGTCAATAGTTATTGGAAAATATATTAATTAACTGATGTTTTTGTTGTTCACTTTTGAACACTTCATGATATGATGACCATAAATATACATATTTAAGTGCTTACCAAACACATAAATTTGCTTACAAATTCAGGGAACTGAATTCCACCCATGAATCTGAGACTAAGAATATCAGAATTATATCATTAATCCATATTACCACAAACAAACAATTTTATTTTTAGGAGAGTGATGCATTTTGTTTTTGTTGTTATATATAAACAGCAGTTGGAAAAAGTGTTCTACCTTACTCTTCCAAATGTACATATTAACAGCTTTGAAAGAAGATATTTATGGCAAAATACCTAATTTTTAAAATGACACTTAGATAGTAAATAAGAGAGTAATTATCATAAATGACATATATTTGCATATTATTCTGAAGAGAGACTATATTTTTCCACATTTTTGTTTTTTCCTTAATTCCAAATCATGTGAGGAGATAAGTTTATAGTTATTTGTTAAATACAGTCATCCAGTATAATCATATCAGAAAAGGATTTTATCAACATATTTATCCACTTGTATATAAAACAGCAAATGACACACATTGAGCAGTTACCTCTGTTATAAAGAAATAAATTTGATGCATGTATGGTATCAAATACACCAAGGTGTGAAAATTTTAAAATATGATCTTATTAGTTACACTTGAGAATACTAAACCGACAGTGGCAGACATCAAAAGGAAATCAAATATTTACCTGTATAATTATGTTTTCTTGATAAATTATTTTGGGATTAAATATATATTTATAAGATTGATACTGTTTTAGGGAAAATAAATAATGCTACAATAGTTGAGTCACATATAATAGTATTTGGTATATCTTGAAGAGAAAAACATACTATACTCCAGAAAAAGCAAACTCATTGCCATCGAGTTGATTCTGACTCATAGCTACCCAGAATAGTTTTCCGAAGTGGTAAGGCTTTGCAGAAGTAAATTTCTCCATCTTTCTTTCGTAGAGTGATTAGTGGGTTTGAACCACCTACCTTCTGGTTAGCAGTCAAATGTCTTAGGCACTGCACCACCAGAGCTTCTTACTTCTCATACTAGAAAATATAAATGCGAAAAACATTGCCAGAGTGATTTAAGACTGGTTCATCGTTTTCCCATTTGGTTCCACAAATGCCACTTATAAACTGCATGCTGCACACTTGCAGGTAGTCTGTGGAATTCAGACATTTTATATCAGCAAATACAGGATTTATCAAAATACTATAAGATGTATATACTATTCTATATTGTTTATATATCTCATTAGTAGAAATATATATTATTCCATTATTCTTGGACATGGGTTACAATAGTAACCTTAGACATTACACATTCATTGTTGTTGTTGTTGTTGTTATGTGCCGTCGAGTCGGCCCCGACTCATAGCGACCCCTCCTTGGGTTTTCGAGGCAGTATCACTACGGAAGTAGGATTGCCCAACCTTCCTTCCGAGGAGTGGCTGGTGGGTTTGAACCGCCAGCCGTCTGGTTAGCAGGCAAGTGACTTAGCCACTATGCTACCAGAGCTCCTACACATTCATTAGAGGGGGGAAAAAAAAGGCTGATTTTTTAAAAAAAGAAAAAAAAGAGTATTATTTAAAGAACATTTACTTTAAAAATGCCAGGGGAAAGTTAACATGAGCCTAAAAGGTTAATTGCGAGGCAAAAATAGTAATTTCTCTCATAATTTTAAAGCAGTTTTTGCAATTATCCATTGTATTTTATGTGAAAAATAACAAAGGACAAGGTAGTTTTAATATGGTATTATTATTATAGATCTGTTATTAAATAATTATTCAAGTCTTCATGTCTTTTGATATCACTTATTTAATGTGGGATAAACCAATTAAAGATAGACTATGCTTTGCTGACATTCATGTGACAAAAGAAAATAAATAAATAAATAAGGCACACAGTCCTGAAAAACAGTAAGTTCTATAACTTCCAGAGGTGAACACAGTCCTGGAGGATTTAAAATCCACACACTGCTTAAAAGGTTAGCTATGGGGCTCCTTTAAAGTTTAACAAGGAATGAATTAACAAGAGATTCAGGAAGCTGCAGTAGTCTTCATGGGGAGAATTTGGGTGTTTAAACAGCTAATTCCTATTTTTTGCTACATTAGTAGTTGCAATTTAAATAACTTCTATCCACCCCAGTTGTTCTTTATTGGAAAGAGTGGTTTTCTCCTTAAAGAGAAAAGTGTTTTTTGATTTAAAATTGGTAACAAGCACTCATGAGTTTAAATGGTAGAATTGATGAACTACTAGCCTTACTAATTTTCTAATAAGTTCTTTTAGAATACTGAAGTGGAATTTTAAAGAAACTTTGAGCTTCACAAAATGCATTATTTTCCTATCCTCTTCTTCAAACCCATAGTTTCATTCATTCACATTTTCCATTCATTCCAAAACTCTTTTTGAGCTACACCTCCATGCAGCACTATGCTACACTGAGAAAGTAAAGGAATGAATAAAATATAGTTTTAGCCCTCCAGGATATGACATTATACTGGAAAGCTAAATGAGTAAAGAGCCAATTCTTTTTAAAATATAAATTTTGTTACTGTGAAATGACAAGATCGTCAACACTCATGACCTTTGGGGTCTGATCAAGATCCAAAAGCGCCACTGTTTACAAGGTCTACCAAAGGTTAAAAGAAATAATACAAAAGTCTTAATAAAGGTGGCCATATATCCAGTTGTATAAGGTAATCTGGACAATAGTTTCCATAAGAATCAATTTATTTTTACTTTTTTAAGAGTAGATTATTTATTATATAAAATCAGAAGTCTTAAGAAAACATACTTATAATAACAATATTGTACTGTGATATTAAAGCATTTTTCAAGCTAGATTATGCAGTAATATTGAAAGGAATTGAGATTTCTAATGCATGTCTTATAAACACATAAAACACAGATATTCTGATGTTACAAGAAAAGCAATTTAATTAAAAATCATATAATTCTCTCCTTTCTTTGTCTCTAATTGTTGGGTAAAAGGGACTCATGTTTCATTAGTAATAATAATAATATCCTTGAATATAATAGCAAAAAAAGTATTGCCCATATGAGGTGCTCTTATTAACAGTCAGCGCACGCTCCGTGAAATTAAACTTTCAGAGAACACTCATATTCTTACCATTCTGTTCAGAGTAAAAGAAATAAAAGTGATAAGTACCTCCAATTGCTTAATTGCATTGTGTAGTGAAAACAGCTGATTGAGTAAATACTAACTTCATTTGAAATTTTGGCATCACTTCCCCCCAAAAAAAAACTCACTGCCATCAAGTCAGATCTGACTCCCAGCAACCCTTCCTTGGGTTTCCAAGGCAGTATCTCTATGGAAGTATATTGCCCAATCTTCCTTCTGAGGAGTGGCTGGTGGGTTTGAACTGCCAGCCTTCTGGTTAGCAGTCAGTGCCTTAAGCTACGGCTAATCCAGAAATATCTAAATATATGAGAAGCAAAACATTATATACTTTGACACTAATTAAATTATTATTCTAAATATTTTTCACTAAAGTGTAATTAAGTATATTATTTAAGAAATAATAAAAATATGTATCATGCAGATTATGCCACTATTCTTATGTTTTAAATTGGGAAGTCCTTCATCTAGTGCAGCCATCCAAGAACAAGGGTTCCTATGACGTTTCCAAACAGACTGAAACAGTCTTGGTGATTAAAATCATAGAATCTGAGATTAAATAGATGGAAATGATGAGGATTATAAATAAGTATGCTTTGCCTTTTAGGATAAGTAGTTTGGGAAACTGCTCTGAATTTTAATTAATGACAATTTCTTACCTTGATAAGCTTTCTTGAATGGTTATAAGGCTCAGGGTTTAAGAGTACAGTCTCTTGAGCTACAAAGTTTGCATTTAAATCCAGATTTGGGCACTAGTTAGTAATATGATGTTGGGTAGTGATATTATCCTCTCAGTGACTCAATTTCCTCACCTGTACAGGTGCATAAAGATAGTAGTTACCTTTAAGATGGTTTTGAGAATCACATTGTCTGGTACTTATAAATCACATTAAACAGTGCTTGATGCACAGCTAGTACTATGTGTTAGCTATTGTTATAAATCATATAGAAAACTTAGCCAAGTCCCACTTTTTGAGAAGATAATGATAATGAAGTGGAAAAAAAAAAGATTTTCAATTATTTTTATTTTCTAAGGTATTCACAGATCACTTGTATATTAACCAATAATTTGTGTTGCATATTGTAATAGAATAAATAGTTAAATCTCCTCCATACCAGCTTTTTTCTTCCTCTATACTCCATGTTAAAGACGTTAGATTTCAGTAAGATATAATATAAACCTAAATTTCTCTCCCTTTTATCAACTTTATAAATAACTACGGTATATGAAACTATGAAATTATAATAAAACAACAATTTAAAGAGTGAATATAAAATGTGCAAATACAGTACTCCGAATTATGTAATAAAGGAGAGATTCAAAAATTCTGGAAAATTTAGAGATCATCTTTTCAAACTAATGGACTTGATCTGAGTTTTGGAAGTGAGAATTGTAATAGGTAAAAGGGAAAAAATAGAGACACAGAGAAAACACAAACAAATGTATGGAATGAGCATGGCTAATCAATAAACAGAACAGTGAAGAGTCAGTTAGAATTGAGTGATAGATGCATCTTAGTGACTAGTGGAAAATGCAAATGATATAGTTGTTGTTGTTATGTGCGTCAAGTCGGACCCGGCTCATAGTGACCCCTCCTTGGGTTTCTGAGGCAGTATCACTATGGAAGTAGATTGCCCCATATTCCTTCTGAGGAGTGGCTGGTGGGTTTGAACCACCAGCCTTCTGGTTAGCAGTCAAGTGCTTTAGCCACTATGCTACCAAAGCTCCCAATGGTATAGTAGCAAACCTAGAATCATACAAAGTTTTAACAGTAATAATTTTGTATGAGGAAGCTTAGTCTTCCTCTCATATTCAAAATGGATTGGAGGTAGATGATAATGGAGTCATAAAAGTCACAGTAATTAGGATGGACTTGAACAGTCACATCAGGTGACAACGAGAGTTTTGGTGGCATTATCTAATAGACGATTAAAGTAGCAAGGAAGGAGCTTAGAAGCCATGACAAAACCATAGATTAAAAGTCATAGTAAACAAATAGTTTCAAGCCATGAGGAAAATATGATGTGTGAAGAGCTGTGGGTCTTTAAAATTGTCAAATGCATGTGTAATTGCCAAAAGAAAGGCATAGCCACAAAGCAGGAATTTAAAGACTTAAATAACAAGTCAAAAGACCTAGAAAAGCAAGAATTTCACATGGATTAAAGTATTTATAATAAAGTTGGCAACAAGGATATTGTTGGTGATATATATAAATAATTTTATGGAATTATAGAAAGATGCAAAATTTTATGTCCAATTAAGAAAATGGCCACATTAGACAGGCATGAATGTTAGACAATTATCTGATCGCTGTGTTTATATGCAAAGGACTCAATTTGAACTTAGAGATCAATCTAAACTAAATAGTGTTGAAATCTAGAGGCTTTCAACATTAACTTTACATTAAAATCACTTTGAAGGTAAACACACACACATACATATACACACACAGGTGATGCACTGGGCACCATCTAGACAAGTTGTATTCAAATAGGTCTGGTAGAACTAGGCATCTTGACTCTTCAAAGCATCTTAGATAATTCTGATGAACAGTATGAAATGAGGACCTCTGCGATATTTAGAGTTCCTCTGTTCAGGCACTATTACAGTCTTAAAAAGGGCAAAACAATAGAAATTATTCTTCAGTTCACAAAAGACTTAATTTATAAAACAATATCACTCAGATATTTCAGAACTATCTGGTTAATTAATCTTCCTATTAAAAAGTCTATTGTGGGAATTCATTTATACAGTGTGATCACATGCACTGATACTATTAATCAATCTTTCATTAACTGGGTACTCTGAAAAAACTGCTGAAAATGTGTATAATGGCAAAATAAAACTTAGTTATGAAAATCGCTACATGGCAAAGACATTGGTTTGGTTCTCAGAATAATAATTCAGTGACATGCACTGTAGGTAATTTGTGGCTTTGTTTTACTTTACCATGAGCAGACAAAATTGCTCTGTTATATACAGGTACAGAGTGCTAATAATTTTAAACTTTTTCTAGAATGTCTTATTTTTTTATTGAAACTTTAAAAATGACAGTGTCTCATATGATGCTGTCATGAAAGGTAGTGGTTTTCTTACAACCATTGATTACTGAACGTTATTGCACCTGGGAATGCCCTTTTCAGAAATTTTGCAATTTAATAATAATTAAGGGTGAAATGTAAAGTATTAATGTGTTATGTTCAGAATAGTATATAAGTCATTGGATATCAAGATTAAATTTATTTCCTAATAGGTCTACAAATAGAAAAAAAAAATGTTTTTGCCTTAGTTGAGTAAAGCTATACTTTAACTTCCTGTACTTGAACTATACTGATTATTAGAAAATATAAGAATACATTCTATGTAAAATTTAAGTGAATATAATTCTTGATTTTCTAATCATATGTTTTCCCCCCAACCCCATATTGTTACAGTAAATGAGGGAGGTATTAAAACGGCTTCCAATTTATGCCCAGATCCAGGAGAACCAGAAAATGGGAAGAGAATTGGATCAGACTTTAGGTAATGTTTTCCATTGTTCATTCCATTGTTTATATTGTGAAATTTTAATTTTAACTTTAAAAATTAATAATATGAAGATGAAGGCCTGGTGTATTAAAACATAGAACTGTGATAGCTAGATTTTCTACTGGTGCATCACTATCAGTAATATTTCATTATTTTAAAGTGACTAGTTAAATAAGGGGAGCTCTGGTAGCATAGTGGCTAAGGCACTTGATTGCTAACCAGAAGGCTGGTGGTTCAAACCCGTCAGCCACTCCTTGGAAGGAAGATGGGGCAATCTACTTCCATAGTGATACTGCCTTGGAAACCCAAGAGGGGTCACTATGAGTCGGGTCTGACTCGATGGCACATAACAACAACAACAAAAAGTTAAATAAGATATCAAATTTAACAGGACATTGTTTTTGGAGTTTTAATGATTATTTTCTTATCATGTGCAAGTGAAAAATCATGGAATTCGGATTTTAAAGACAAGAGTTTAATTCAAATTCTGCTACTTATTAATTCTCTGATCTTGGGTAAGCTGCTCAATTCCAGTGTATTGCTTTCTTTTCCTACAGAACATTCAGCAAATTTACATCATAAGTGAGCGTCAAAGGCTATAAAGCTTGTGAAATTGTACAGCAATGTTCTATAGACATTTTATTTTTATTGTTAAGAAGTGACCATAACTTAAGCATAAGTTTTAGGTCTATCTTAAAAGTAGTATTTATTTTATTGGACTTCAGACCGGTTCATTTTGGTTCAAACCAATACTGAGAATTTGCATTTCTACCCCAGATATACTGAATAAGAATCTATATTTT